CAGGCACAAGCACAAGCACAAGCCCAAGACAACCAGCCACCGCAGCCTCAAGTACCCAAACAGTTATCTGAACCCAAGAAGGACTCTAAAACGAAGAGAAAGATGGATCATGATGAAGACAGCGAAGAAAGCCCATCGACACCACCGAAAAGGGCCAAGCGTGGCCGCAAGGCCAAAGTCAAGGAAGAGCCCGAGTCACCTCCTTCGTCTGCTGATGATAAAGATGACAAAAGAAACCCTTTGACTGAGGACGAGAAGAGAAAACATTTCCTTGAACGGAATCGCCTTGCTGCGTCCAAGTGTCGACAAAGAAAGAAGCAAATGGTTGCTAAAATGGAGGATGAACTAAAATTCTATGCGGTTGGATACCGGGACTTGAGTGGCCAGCTTGCTGCCATGAGAGACCATCTCCATAGAATCCGGTCCGTTTTCCTCAACCACAAGTCATGTCCTCTGTTGGTATCCCAGTTGGGAGGATACACCGAAATGAACCATTTCCTCGACCAGCTCGACTACATTACGTCAATATCAGAGAAGAACCTGGGGAACTTGGTATCACTTCCCACCACGATCCCCACCACCCTCGGGTCCACCAGCGATAACTACGTGGTGCCTCCCGCCCCTACGTCCACCATTGGCCACAACCTTCCTATGGCTGATACTTCTGGTGCCAATTCAGTCAATGGCTACGACCCAGTGTCAAATAACATTTCTGCTCATCACAGTATGACCAACCTTCAAGCAGCAGGCGCCCCAGGCCAAGCAACCACTGCGAGAGGTGGTCCTGACGGTGGTACCAACATCCACCAGCCCCAGGCCACGGATATCCGAACCATAAATAGCATGTCAGACTTGGCCTCCCTCAATCAGAATGGGAACATCCCTATGAATGACCCCCACCACCCAGACAAGAACTTCGGGTTGCGTCCCGTCAATAGTATGGTGAACCTCCACCCAATGAATCATCATCAAAATGGTCTTGTGGATTTATCGAATGATTTGAACTAGCCGGACTTAGAAGATTCCGGATGCCGATCTCAGACTTGATGATATGTGGGATGTAGGACCTACAAACGGGAAAAGCTCACCGCTCAACGCCAGTGGTTTTCTTGCGGGCAGTACAACCCTCTACTACTTCTATTCCACAAATATATCCATAGATCAATGTATACTACCATCTCTTATGCCCAAACGCGGTACAGTTTCAGGCTCGGTGGCTGCGGATTTCGCGCGATCGGCTGCGCCACGACCGCGTTTGTGTTTATTTGGAATAAACAAAAGCTTCTCGTACAGCTTACATTTAACGGTGAACACAAAATGGTGATACGAGGCAACCAACTAGACGATATGGAGCTTCCAAATATCCCAGGAAATTCACCTTCTAATGACAGTGGAGATATCCGGTCCAACCAACTAACCAGAAAAAATTTGAAGTCCATTCTTCATTTGATCACTGGAGAGTTGAAGAAGCGTGGAACAAAAACTCCCCATATTTTCTTACCTTTCAGGTCCAAAATAGATGATTATCGACTCGAGAAGTTCCTTACACTGTTGTTTCCTAGTGGTGAGTTGCTCAAAGATGAAACTTTGGTGTTAAATATCTTGAAGAGTTTCGATGAGTTCACGATGATTTGCGGCCTCAAGTATTTGTGGAGTCGGTTACCCAACAATGAAGTCATCGGTTGGGATGTATACTTGGAGTACAAACGGAAAGAAAAAGAGGCCGGGTATCCAAAGGTGGCATTTTTAAGTATTATGCCCAAATGTCTATCATCTCCTGCTCACGCCTCTATAGTGTACGACTTTTTGGATTTGTTGATTAGTGTGGCCTCAAATTCCCAGTACAACTACTTAAGTGGTCGTAAGATTGCCAAGATGTCGAGTGTATGGGCTTTTAACACCAACAGAAGCGGCCAGGGTCAAATGAAGTCGGCTTTCTATGATGCCACCATTGTTAAGGAAAACAACTTTATTGATGGTTTAAATAGCTGGCAAGAGTCTACCGATGCCATATTTCACTTATTGTTGTCGTTCTTGAGAGCCATGTTGCCGGAAAATGAGATGGAGACTTTGAAATTACCAAAGACTTTGCAGTCCTTGTTGATCACCAACAACTATCCTCCAATTGCCAACACAGACTCTATAAAGTCCATCATTACGATTCCATGTGTTTCTGTTAGATCCACAAAGGTCAGTTCGACCCCTTACGAGTTAATTAGTAAGGTAAGGCATGTGCTATCATTTGATAAAAAGGACAGCTTTGTATCGATCGAAAACTACACCATCTTGAAGAGCATTTTTGAGAAGAACAGCACGAGTGACATCGTGTCAAGTTTGACCGAAGAATCAAGACGAGTATTAAGTAGACTCACAGAGGATCCCATCAGCTCTAGATTTGGCTTATATCCTGGCTGGTCGAAGGTCCAAGAAAGAAGCATCAAACCGGATCCGAACATACCGTTATACTCCGAAATCACCATCAAAAACGTTTCAATACAGGACTATTATATATGGGCGTGGTTGTCATCGCTAGCCTCCGACCAACCAAGCCTGAAAAAGACATTGTTTGGTCGGTCTTTGGTAGTTGAAGCTGGTTTGAGAGGGTTTCAAAAATGGTTGATTTTGACTGAAGAGGTCATGTCTACAGAGGAGTACTTGAACAAGTTTAAATCTGGTAGCAATATCGTGCCCAAAGTTCCTGAGAAGGAAGGAAAGCGGGCGATATCCAATGAGAGTTACAAGGATATGCCTCTACCACCTCCACCACCACCACCAACCAAAGGTAAAAATTCTGGATTACTACCAACTTATACATTTGACAATGGTAGTCTTGCTTTAGAAGTTAACGAAGAGCACATGGACTACCGGTCAGACGAAGATTATGGACATCATGAGGAATTAAATGACTATACACAATATTTGAAGTCTTTGAGTCTCAGCGATGAAAACCTTGGTCAACATATAAATAGCAAGGTTGGAGATCTGTCTCCATCTTTGGATTCAAAGAGAAATAGACCACCACCACCTCAAATGGACCAGGTCCCACCATCTTCTCATACACAACTGCCATATTATAATGGTCAAGTCTATGCTAATGAACCTGTGCCCCCACAAGCACCGGTCAGTCGCGAGTACACCGAGCCTTACAGTGTGTACGAAACTAAAGAGGATATTGCCGCAAAGAACCTTTCTCAACAAGCACAAGACCCATATGCCCACTACTTTGTTCCTGGTACTGAAGCTCAATCCCATGTAAATGAAGAACCCAAGTATATACCTGCTGGGGAAATCCAGACACTCGAGCCTCAGACTATTTCTGATTTAGCTCCACCAGCAGAAACTGTTGTTGACCCAGAATTACCATATGAACCTGTCGCTGAACCAGAATTACCATATGATAACAATAAAGAGAATGAAGAGGTCAAGAAAAAGAAGAAAAAGAAGAAGGACAAAGAAAAGGAGAAAAAGCGTACAAGCCAATTGCCTTTCCCCTTCCCTCCAGGGGCAGTACCCCCAGGAATGATGCCTCCTTTTATGGATGCCCACGGAAACATGGAAGGAATGCCTCCCATGGGATTTTTCCCTTTACCTCCTGGAATGACGCCTAAAGATCTTTCACCTAAGAGCAAAGAGAAGAAGAAGAAAAAAAAGAGGTCATCAACTAGTCCCGAAGCTTCTCCCAAACAACCTGTTATTCCCAAGTTTGAAATCACCCCAGTTTCTCCACAGGCCAATAACTCGTCGCCGGTGCTCGAGTCGACTCCTGTCTTACCTCAACCGGGTTCTCTGGTCCCAGCTCAACAAAGGGTCTCTCCACCTCCAGTCATGCAACAAAGGGCCTCTCCACCTCCAGTTATACAACATCAGGTTCAACCCGCTCACGTTCGTCCTTCTCAGCAGTCTGTTCCTAAGGTACGGCCTGTAGAATCTTACAGGACACCTTCTCCTGCAGAACCTTCAAACCGCAAATCTCACTCTTCAAGTCCGCAAGCTCCACCATATCTACCCCAATCAAGATCGCCAATTCCGCAATCAAATCCGCTGATTCCACCCATGCTTCAGCCTGCTGGATTTGCTCCAAGTACCGGAGGCAGCCGAATAAGCCAGGAACCACAAAATGAAAGGTCGCCAAAGTTCCAGAAATCTCCTCGAGTGAATGGCGGCCCCCAGTTGCAGAAACCCCAACCTCAGATTCCATCTCAAGATCTTGAGCCTGCCACGCAACCCCCACAGAGCTACCAGACCAACCAAAGTTCGTTTGGCCAACCAGTCAAGAAGGTGACTTCTCCAGACCACGTAGCCCAAGCTCCACCAGGGCAAGCTGCAAGAAGCCATGCCCAAATGGCTGGTGCTCCACACCAAAGGTCAGAACCTTCTCAACTGCCTGCTAGAGCCCAAGGAAACCATAGTCACTCACCCGGACGAGGTCAGCCTGGTTATGGTCAATATGGTGCTGGACCGGCACAAGCACATCCCGCACAAGCACCTCACGGACAAGCACCTCACGGACAAGCACCTCACGGACAAGCACCTCACGGACAAGCACCTCACGGACAAGCACCCCACGGGCAAGCACCTCACGGACAAGCACCCCACGGGCAAAATCCTCTGCAGGCGCCTCAACAGCCTTATCAGTATCCTCCCCAAGGATATTACCCACCTCCCCAAGGATACCCATACTATCCACCTCCCCAGGGCTATTACCCTCCACCACAAGGCTACGCTCCTCCTGCTCAAGGATACGCCCCGGCTCCTCAAGGATACCCTCCACCACAGGCATATCCATATTACCCTCCGCCTGGATCCGCGAATCCACCAGCTGAAGATAAAAGAGGTCGTACCACCACCTCAGACATTGCGATGATGGGAATGCCACCAGCCAGTAGACACAATAAGAATCGACAAGCCAACAAAGCTAACTTGAGAAATGCGTTTGTTCAGGGGAGCTTTGGCATATGAATGGAATGATATACGACTACACTGTTTGCTATGTACATTATGTAGAATAGACCATATTTATTATACCCGTGCCCTGATTGTGATTGACTTTTTAAAACCCTGAAGGGTTTAAAAGATTCCCCCTGTCAAAGGTATTTGTAGCACGCTCTTTGTGGCTGGTTGATGGTGACCGGAATTATACGAGGAATTTCAGGTCATCGCAGGGAGTTCGTGCTCCCGTAAAAGTATAAGTCGAGACCCCGAGGTCTAGAGCTTTAAATAGTACCAAAATGGAGTACCTTCCATTGCTGCTAAGATTGGCGAAGCCTGGTCTAGCTCCAGATGAAACGAAAACATGCTCTTCCCTACCTAAATGATACGAAATATGGGCGGTACTTTCTTAAAAGAGGTTTACGGACGTGTATTTCTAGCGTTAATTCCTTTTTCGTAACGCACATATACGGGGTTGTTTCATTTACTTTCTTTATCGAAAAGATAATTTTCTTGTCCCAAGCACCAATGCTTAAGTGACCCTTTCCAAAGCCCAAGGATAAAACAAGCACTGGAATCTCACCTATGGTAATTTCAGATACATGACTAGATCTCTAAAATATTTTTCAGCAATTGATATTTTTTAAAGGGTTTTAGTTAAGTGATTAAAGATGGGCGTTATTTTCGGCGAGAACCGCAGAGATTAAGCGGGCGTCTTTGTTTAGTTTGGTGAGCCCGTGCCCGCGCAAATACGGTAGATGGAATTGTCTAAATAAGGCGATCCCAATCATCTCGCGCAGGGACAATAGGAAGAATCCTGGGGTTCAGCCCGTACACGGAGTCACCGGGCAACTGGGTTCAAATCCCCTATTGTGTAGATTTGACATATCGTATTGTAGGGAGCAAACTCGGAACCAAGTTTTAAACTGCCGCCGAGCTTTGAGCGCAAATAAGCACAGGCGCACCCGCCTGTTCTTACATCCACAAAAGACTGTCGACCACAAACCCGGTAACAGTCCGAAGCGGTATCGGGGAGTTCTAACCGATACTGTTCAAGCATCTGTTCCTGGATACTGTCTGGTATTAGTCGTGGCAGATCTTAGAGTCAGAAAAAAATACTCTGCAGCATACAGGCTAAAGAAATCTAATCTTATTGACGGGTTTCGAAAAGGCAGAATTGGTGGTTCTGAACAGAGCAAGTCGGGGTCGACTTGCAAGAATCTACAAGAGAGAAATCTATATATGCATTCACATCTAGACCCAAAAGCTTTAATCCTAGTCAATTCGGGGGTAATCGTCCTCTTTGCATTTCCAGGGCCAAGTTAGCGTGCAGTGATTATTTTTTGCAAAATGTTTAAATTGAGGATATATTTCGCGAGGAGATTTCAGTTCCCCATCGGGTGAGGATAAGCTTTAAAGCTGTGGATTAAGGTGAAACAAGCCTTGGATTTAGAAATAAATCCTCCTCATGGTTGAGTTAGTAGTACTCTCAAAGCTACGCTGCTGCTACAGAAGGATACAGACTTGCCGTCACATCGCACAATGAAAAGTAGATATGTAGGTTGTGTCGTTCTTTTCCTATAGCCAAAGTGCAAGCTTGAAGGGGTGTTGATTTTTTTAGGGTCTTGTACGTGCGTTTGAAGCTACTGGCCGAAATAGTTAACAATACAAGGAAATCTGCAGCTCGTAAAAAATAATGCTATGCTCTCAACTGGAGAAGATACTGGGACCCTTTATATATAGGATTCCATTGTGTAGTTACGGGAGCCAGAGTGTATTGTTCGTTCCTTCATGCATGGTTAGCTGGTTCTAATACTCTTCGCAATGAGTTGCTGCCTGGGCTACCGCAGGTTTGTCGTATTCTCTGTTTACGTCTGAAACGAGTGGTATCCCTGCCTTTCTAACCGTAATCCAATTTTTATAAATTGAACACCAAAGACACACATTTTTGAAGCCCCATATCCCTTTTCTAATGGTATTCGGTTTCAAAGTCCTTTCGGCACTTGCCTGCATAGCTTTGGCAAGTGCTGTGGAGATTACCACTAATACAATTAAGAGAGGAACAATATCATTGAGTGTTGGTGACTACACCATTGACGAAGGTGTTTACTTGTCTATCATTAATAATGCCGATTCCGCCTTTCTTGGGCTGTTCACCAATAAAGGTGGGTTTTATATCACTTCGGACAGTTCTTTAATTGCCTTGACGGCATCCGTTTATACCTTGACTGGTACCATCGATAATAGTGGAATTTGGTCTTGGAATTCCGTTGAGTCCTTAACTACTCCCGATTTTGAATTGTATGCTGCTACATTTCAAAACACCGGTACCATGTTCTTTGCGGGTGACGGTTCTGTGGGTATTCCTGTCATGTCTGTGTTGGCCTCCGATTGGGATAATGAGGGTTTGATTGTATTCTCATTAACCACCAGATCTACCGGTGAAGTGCTTTTGGGTAGTGCCACTGATTCGGCACTTTCTAGTATTACAAACGATGGTACCATCTGTTTAATCAACCAAGTGTACCATCAATCCACTGGTATTGATGGAAGTGGTTGTTTTGATATTGGTGCGGATTCGAGCGTTTGGTTGCAACAATCGATCTTGGGCCTGTACGGTGTCGACACAGATCAAATTTTCTATTTAAGTGCACAAGACTCATCCATACGTGCTGAATCGTTTTCATCCACTCAAACATTCACAGTTGCTGGATTTTATGGAACTAATATCATTGGTATTTCCTCCACAATCTACAGTATTTCTTACTCAGGGGATACTTTGAGAATAAATGGAGGAACCCTCCTTATTCCTCAATACACCGACTTTGTTATTGGTACCGGTTACGATTCAGATCTTTTTGAACTCGTAACTAGCAATTTTGGCGAAGTTAGTTTGCTGTTCTCGAGCAATGCTGTGCAATATACTGGTGATCTTCCATCCGGATCTACAAGTTCTTCTTCGTGTTTGGCCTGCCAGTCATTGCCTGAAGTTCCAGGTGAGTCTTCATCATCTTCGGGCTTCAAGGTTCC